GATGGGAGAAACCATAGGGAAGGCCCTGACTTGGGGGGCATGACTGAGTCTTCTGGGGAGCCTGACTTGATCTGAGGTGCTGTCATGAGTATTACTCATGCACAACATCTGCAGGGGTCACCCACATCAGCTTTGGATAGTAAGACATGTAAGCATGGGCACATCTTGGATGTAAGACAGATACCTCCAAATAGACCTTAGGGTGTACCCAGCTCTTTGCCCAAGCAGAGTCTGCCAGCTGGGGGTCTCCCTTGGAAATGTCTCCCCTGCCAGGGGCAAGGGTTGAAAAGAATACAGATGAGAAAAGAGTCAGAGAGGAGAAGGGTTGTCTGAGATCACAGAAAATATGTGGGACAGGTAGGGTTGAAATGGCCAGGCTTCTTGCCAGAATGAAGAGGCCACTGCTGGTGGGAGCAGGAGGCGAAGGGGCCATGGGTTGGCCTCACTCCATCCAACCTGCTCCTTTACAGACAGGAGCACTAAGGCAGAGGCAGGTGTGGCGCTACATGCCTGAAATCCTGCAGTTCAGGAGACAGAGGCAGGAGGATTGTAAATTCAAGCCCAGCCTGGACAACTCAGTGTACTTACTGAGGCTCTTTCTCAAAATAAAAACTAAAGCAGGCTGGGGATGTAGCTCTGTGCAAAGGCCCTGGGTTCAATTTCCATTGCCCAAAACAAAAACAAAAGAACACCCAGGCCAGGAAAGGGGGAAGCCATCCACATCTAGCACATAGCCGCAGATACCACCTCACTTGTCTTTCCCTGTCTTACAGGTGCATGAAGCCTGACCCATGCACATGAGCTGAGAGTTATGAAGAAAAACAAAGGCTAAGCCATGGTGTTCTGTTGAGCTGTAGGGGACTCAGGTCAACAATTCCTGACACTGCCAGTCAAGCGGAAGACCCAATACTGTTATGGACTACTGGACTCTTTTAGAATATTTTGCTGAGTTAACACACTTATAATATTCAAATGATGGAACTAAACAAAAAAGGGGATACAGAT